GAATTTCAGGCACGTCTTGTTTTATGGAGTTTGTTTACATATTTCAAAAGTTTCGAAACTTAATCTGTAATAAACTAAAGTTATGTTTTTGTTAAGACGCGAATTGCCGAACACGCGGCAGCATTGCGGAGAAATAATGCAATTTCTCAAGTTGCACCTTATTCGAGGAGACCCGACTTCACGTTAAAATTTGATGAGGCCGAAATTCTTGCGTAAGGTGACACTCGTGTGAGTCGCGAGTTGGCTGAGTCATGTTTTACGGGCTTCCAGTCTATAAACAAGTGCAACGGTCTGCCCAACACATATTCAGCACTAAGGCTCAGTTTGGCCAAGCCAATGCTCCAGTCGGGAAAGGCAGAGGCGAACGCGTTGTCTAATATCTGCGCCAGGGAGCCAGATGGCCGAACAATCACCACGCCCAAATGTAGCATGGGTGATGAAAGTTCAGCAGGTCATGACCCGCCCACTGGTCATCAAGCAATTAGCGCACGGGCGGGCAGTTATCCTCGATAGGTACAGAGCCGCTAATTGTCGCAGTAGCATAGCGACTGCATCCTGTAAAATAATACAAATCCCCGTATCCGTTTCCGCTACAGTCACTGAGAATGGATCCTTCTCAATAAAGTCACGGTTAGCACATGAGAACTACATTTCAGTCCGTGACACTACTGACTCTCCGAGGATTGCATGAGTGCTAGTTCGCCCGATGAAATTTCAGGAACGCTTCTGATTAAAATAAATGAAGGAAGAATCAAAGTGGAGCAACAGTAAGTGGGTCAATTGAAAGAAATCGAAATTGGAAACATGACGAACAACAGACAGAAACCTACATTAGGACATCATGAAAGCTGACATCCTTGTCTCGACCGCCGCGCAGGGTTTCCACCTCGTAGCACATCTCCTTAAACAGCTGTTTGTCACGTTTCTTCGAGAGGTCAAAACCGACGCGATCGCGTGGAATCAGCCGAAGGAGAAAACGAATGTAGTACGCCTTCACTACGCCCTGGGAAGAGACAAACAGGCAGCCAGCAGGGGTCAGAAGTAGTACGCATGCACGCACGCAGATTGGAGTATAGGGTTTCATTTTGTTAGCGAAAAGTTCAGGCG